AGCTTCCGTTTCACCCAGATTTTGGCGAGAACAGAAATTTCTGTGTATTATTTTACTTGCCTCCTATCTGTAAGGATTTGCCATAGACTAGCTCCTAGTTCCATATGATTCTTAACTGGCTTCATTTTCACTGGCTCCTGGGTTCTCTGGCATATCTTCATATAACGTGAGCTCTGGCCTGGGCACTTCTGGATCATAATACCATGTGGCAGGAAAATGGTCACTAGGATTGTTCATTGAAGTCGGTTCTACTTTGAGACTGCTAATAATGATGGGACTATACATAAAAATGATTGAAAATCACTTACAAGTATCCCACTAAATAAAAAGAAACAAAGAAACATCTACTAAGTGAAGCTGAAAGTATCCCCAACTCGATTTCCCTGTAGCTCAGATCCTAAAATGCCTGTGGCCACTCCAGCACCTATAAACCAAGGGCAAAGGAAAAGAGGGCAAAGGAACAGTTCTCAATATCAACTGTGATTAAATTAATTAACTTTTGAAAATATTATAAAAATTTGATTCTGTGATCATATTACTGTGTCCCTCTTATATCTTGGAAGGGGTCCATGCAAATGAGAGACTAAAGCTTTTTTTATGAGTTTCCTGGTAAATAACATATCAAGTGCTGTGTAGAACTGATTCCAAAGAGTAGTACATCTTACAGCTGACCTTTTGAATAAAGCTTCTGGATTTTAGTTTCCTCATCAGGAATAAAATTAACAATGGTAATTATTAACCACTTCTTATATGCTAGACACTTTCAATGAATTGTTTCAATTATCCCAACCTTTTGAAATAGGTTTTATTAAACTCCCCATTTTACAATCAAGGAAACCATGTAACTCTCCTGCACATACTATGATTGCCTCATATCATTGTTCTGTGAGTTAATGTGAAAATAAATAACAAATGTGCTTTTTATACTCTGAAACATTACACCAGTCCTCATCAGAGAGGGTCCTTATAAATGTGAGAAAATTATCAGCTGACCTGCAGGCCAGGGGACCATTAAAGGTCCAATCAGATTAAGCACAGTCAGGTCATGGACAGTTGCCAGCCCACCATAACTGCCCATCAAAATGCAACAATGGGCAGGACAATGGACATTTACACATAGTACATTACAATGGCTTTCAAATTGTACTCAAATAAGAATCACAAAGAGGAAACTGTACTTGTTGGAAAGAATGTTTCCTGCTACTTATATCCAGATATTTTGATTTAGTAGTCTAGGATTGGCATCAGGCTCATTTTTATTTAGCATTCTGAGTGATTTTAATACCTGACTCTTGGGTTATAGGTTAAACACAAAGGAACTGACTCAGAGAAGAATAAGCTGCTAGCTTATTTTGGTGTTATTTTTCTCTGTCTTTATATCCCTACCTCAAAAAGAGTAAAATAAACTTGTTTTATTCCACTTATCTCCTGATGCTTCTATGACTTTGATCCTTATGAAGAGGTGATCTTGCATTTTATTGTGAGTGAGTTTCAGGTTTTCTTGTGAGGATAGTTTTTAATAGGAAGAGAGTAGAGAGCACAAAATCATGGCAATTAACAAACGCTTTCCAAGGAAAGAAAGGTCATACAACTGAGAGGACAAACACTTCGTCATTTTGCCTATGCAGAGTAATGCCAGACAAAGTAATTTTTACTTTTTTTCTTTTTTTTAAAGATTTATTTATTTTATTTATACAAGCACTGGGTACAGTCAGAAGCGTGGGAGGGTGAGAGAATTCACCAGAGCCAGAGTGGGGAACAGAACAGGCAGACCGACGAAATACACTGCTGAGGGGAGCAGTGGATGAGACAGGAGAGGTTTGTCGTGCCATGTGGGACACTCGCAGGTGGCCGGGGATCGAACCGGCACTACAGAGGCTGCGGGCAGCCTCGCAGCCCAGCGCTCAACCACTGCGCCACCAGGGGAGGCCCAACTTTTACTTTTTGGGACAATTACAGGAAGAATATGGCAGAAATTTACTAACTTGGGATCCAGCTAGGGGAATAGTAAGATCAGAAGTTTAGGAACAATTATTAAAGTCTGAATCTAAAAACAAGCAGAAAGTCACCATCAGATGGGGATTATATGTCAAATTTCACTAGATTAGGGATATTGATATTTTCTATCAAATTTGTTCACAGATTTTACTGTGACCAGATACCATAGGGGTACATTATCCATTGAGAGGTAAATATAATTAAGCTGGCTTATATTCTAGGTAAATTTAATGAATTGGGAAACTCTGAATTCTCTCTTTTTAGAGCAGGGATCAGCACATTTTTTTCTGCAAAGGTCTATAGAATTATTTTTAACTTTGTAGACCACACAGTCTCAGTCACAATTATTTAACTCTGTCCTTGAAGTATGAAAGCAGCCATAGATAATTATGTGAACAGATAAGCATGGTTGTGTTCCAATAAAACTTTATTTATAGAACAGGGGGCAGGCCAGATTTCACCCATGGGCAGAGTTTACAGACACTTCTCTGGAAGTAGAGATGGCTGGCTTAGTATCTCTAATACTAACCTGGATATCTCTAGTTCTGTGTCCCACCTCCTGATGAATGTATTGTTTATTGGTCATTTTATCACCCAGTGAATCTCTCCCCTACTCTACAATTTGTAAGACTAGAACTGGAACTCAGGCAGTTGGCATGGAAGGAAGCTTATTTACACTGAAATTCAATCAGATACCCATGTCTAAACCTGAGACATGTTTCTTGTTGGTTACTTGCTTGGCGTCTCCAAACTGTTTTATAATTCTCAGCTGACTCACTTGTTTTCATGTGGAAAACAGTTTGTACCGCCACATATTGGAGGAAGCAGGAATGGAACTGATGGTTTCCCAGAAAATTCTTGGGGAAAGGGGTGAAATGTAGGGCTCCATAAATTACTCTGTAAATCAACAGTGTCAAGCTACTGCTGCAGATTAGGCTTGCCTGCTATCAAATTGTCTTCTCCGACTGAATAACATATGGGCTGCTTCATGACACTCAGAATATAAGAAATGTCACATTTTCCCATTTTGCTAAATAATATGTAGGGGACCCCAAGTATCAATATCTCCTGGAAACTTGTTAAATTGTAAATTCTCAAATTTCCAAATTTCCTACCCTATGCCAGATCTACTAAAATAGTGTCCATCCCTGAGAGTAAGACTGAATTTTAGTAATCCTTTCAGGTGGTTTGATTGTTTGTACAAGTTTGAAAAGCACTGTTCTAGAATATGTTTCACTTTGGAAGTTATGATCCACTTGAGGAAAAGCTGTCATTAAGAGCCAATGGTAATCTTCAGATTAGTATTTAGTCCTCTGTCCTTTGCTCTCCAGGCTTTCTTGGAATGCATATTCTTTTAAAATTAATTGATATCCTCTGGTGGTTATGAGCATTTCCAAATGTATAACTATGTCCCTAACCTATTATTTTTTTTCCTGGCTTTTGATCATTGTTTAATTCCAGGAAAGTTTGATTTTAATAGGTTGACTTTATCGGAAACTATAGCCTCCCTCTTGGCTTCTGAAACAAATTTTTCTTCTCTCTCTACCCCTTTATCATCAGTAACCCCATATCAGGACTGGACCTGCCTGGGTAAATTGAATGAATCACTGATCTCAGGTTCAGAATTTAAGGGACACCAACAATCTTATTAATCAACAAAAATAGATTTTAATGAAATTTTTTTTTAATTTAGTCATCTTGAGTTTTGGTTTTTATTTTATTTTATATATTTTTTACATACTTTTTCATTTTTGCACAATGTAAAGTAAAAATCAAAATCAACAAGCAACTATAAACCAGAGACACCCAACGGGGTCGGAGGGGAGGAGGGATTAGGGTCAAAATAAGGGGTTGGAAATTGTATGGGGAATATAACCAAGATGTTAATGAAATATTTTTCAAAGTTAAAATCAATGCCAAAAAATCCATAATCAAAAAAAATAATTTAAAAAAACAGGATTAGTACCTTGTCATGCTAAGTTATATTGACTGATGGCAAAAGAAAAAAAATCAGTAATACTCAGCTTATCTTTATTTAAAATTTTGATCTTGATTTTTATGGGTATTTTTGCATAAGGTTTTATCTTAAAATATTATCTATCTTGGTTAGTGACTTTTGTAGTGCCCACTTAAATTCTGTGCCCAAAGACATGCCTCACTCACTTCATGAAATCCTTGACAGTTGGGAATATCAAGGGACCTCCCTGGTGGCACAGGCGGTTGAATGCAGTGCTGTGAGGCTGTCTGCAGCCTCTGCAGTGCCAGTTCAATCCCTGCTGGCCTTGGAGCAACCCACATGGCGAGCAGACCTCTCCTGTCTCGCCCGCTGCTCCCCTCAGCAGTGTATTTTGTCAGTCTGCCTGTTCTGTTCCCTGCTCTGTCTCTGGTGAATCCTCTCACCCTCCTGCACATCTGGCCTGTACCCCAGTTCTTGTATAAATAAAACAAATCTTTAAAAACAAAAAAGAAAGTTGGGAGTATCAAGGTTTGTCCTATGCCTCACATGCATATGCAGTCTCTCAGAGAGGTGACACTTTCTCTGTTATCAGATGCTTCTCCTGATTATAGATGGAACCAACAGACAGGAAAGAAAGTTGATTGCATATAATGATGTGAGAGGTACTGAAAAGTCACCTGACATGTTAATTAAACTCATCTTCTCTTTTTATTTTGGGTTATTGTAGCACAGTTTATACTTTACTCCAAGAGGAAATAAAACACTTGTTTGTTCCAGTTTCTAAAGGAAATTGTTCCCCCTTGTATTGATTCAACAGATGATTGGGCTTCTGGAGAGTAATGTCCCAGGGAAGAAAGGGCTTCTCTTCCAGGGAGGAGCTTAGAGGACAGGAGAGAGATCACTACTTGCTTAAGATAGATATATAGGGTGACTATCAGAGTCGAAAGTTATCTACTCATCATCTATATAGCAATTGCACACTCAGTGTATGCTAAACAATCTTATACTTGCTCACATACTGCTTTATAATAAATCTATAGATGAATTTGATGTGTATGGTTCTCTTCTCCAACTAGATTGTACTGTTTGATTTCAGGGATGTTTTCCTTTTTTTAACGTCCAATTCCATAAATAGGGTGAATAGCCATTCCTGAAACATCATCTTGTTGTATTTGATTTCATTCAGTTAGTCTTTTTCTTTATTCACTTCACAGCACACTTGAGATCAAATAGAATTGAAGAGATGTCATTGAATTAAGCAACTCAACACAGCATAAGAAAAATTAAAAGCCTACTTGCCTCTACTAATTGATGACAGTTACATGATGATAATGTTAACTCTCCAGGAGCTTCTAAAGTATGGAGGTGGATGCCGCTGATGCAGACATATATAAATAGTACATATAAAGTAGCTTAAAACATTAAATCAACGTATCAAAGCAAATTGACACTTAAATCACATTCTTAAGGAATAGCAGGATTTCTTTCATACATTTCCAAACCAAATGCTACATGCACCAGCAGCCAAACTCATAGGTCTTTGAAGATGCAAGCATTCTGAGCACAAATTCACCTTTCATGCAAAAATTCCAAAACCCAACCCATAAACATAAATCACCCTTCATAAATCACCAAATAGTCTCTTTGGTTGTAATACTATACGAATTAAATTGTCAAGAGTGTTTTCCTTTTATAGAAGTTGATTCAGTATCTTTTAAAGTCCTCAAAGCTGTCAGATTCTTACAGTTTGAGCTCCAAAACATAAAATAATGCTTTTCTTTGTTTAGAAATTTACAACATAAAATTTCAAGCTCTGACCTGTTGTGAAAGTTACCTTGGTAGCATGAGATTTTATTACTATGGTAACTTAACAAGACGGAAGTATTAAGAATATTTTCCCAAAATACTTTCAGGAGAGTTTACCATTTATGATTTGAAATCACATTTTCACAAATATCTTCAAATATATTGAAAAATTATCTAGCATTCATTTTATATTCTTTTATATTTTATCATTAACTTACAAGTGTATTGAACAGAATCTCTTTTTCAACATCTCTGTGCTGGTGAAAAGTTATTCCACTTTTGTGGGGATTTGTGCCACCAAATCAGGGAAGATACCAGTCCACTCTGCAACTGCACAGAAAAGAAGGAAACTGCATCAACTGTGTGATGGTTTTGAGTCAATGAATGGCTGAATGAGATGCCAACAATTAATGGAAGAAAGCAACTCTTACGTCACTGTGAGTCCCAGAGATTCACCTAGAAAACCACATGTATAAACATCTAGCACACGTGATACACAGATCTCACTGGAATTGAACTCCGAATCTGTGAATTACAGGAGCATGTTAAACAGATGAGGGGTATGAAATCTATTTTTATGTATTATGTAGCATTTCCAGAAGACTCAGCAAAAGGGTACCTGGATATCCAATACAAAGAAGTCTCACTATGGCATTATATACTCACTTTTCAATATTATGAAGCCTATGACTTGATGGGCTGAGGAACCCTGTGTTAGCAGTACTGAACTCCTGGGAAACATATGAGTCACAGTAGGAAGATGTCAAGGCCTTTACAACCATTTTTGCACAGTATTGCATATGAATAAGTCACCAGGTAACTTTGCGTGGCATGAGGCTAAAAGGAATTCTTCTTTTCAAAGTTTTAAAATGATCTCCAAGCATCATCGCAGCAGAAAGGGTAGAGAAAAATTAATGTGTGTTTATGTATGCATGTGTTTTGCTTGGCTCTTTGTTTTTCTTCTGAGTGTCATCCTTGCACGGCTTGTCTGCTCTTGTATTACCTGCTGGGGGTGAGTCAATTCCATTTCAGTTGGATATAAATTTGCAGCCACATTATCCTATCTAATAGGAACAAAAAACAGAAAGATTTCCTGAGGAGCAGCTGGTACATGCAAATTGAGACTGCTCATTTTAATTTTGGTTGTCATGACATTTCCTCAATTACCTCCTTGACCTGAATCACACTTCTTTCAGCCTGTCTGGAAGATACAGACTTATTTTCTTATTTGGATCGCCCCAAGAAAAACCAGGAGGAATTCTGAATGTTATGGGTTCTCTCGAATGTTGGACATATGCAGAAAATGGCATTTGAATTTTAACATACCAAGAGTGTAATTGAACAAAACCTGCCAGTCAAATATTCACCGGGTTTCTTTCATTACTGGATGAAAACTTCACTTTAAAAATGGAGAAAAATATGCTCAGAAGCAATAAATATGGAGGATGCAAAGCATGTATAGCTAAGAGAAATTATAATAAAGTATAAAGATATTCATGTAAAACCTACTGGCTAGCATGGACTCACATTTATGTAGGTTCTATAAAGCAATATACCCTCATTTATCTAGGTAGATGTTAAAGAAATGCTACTCATCATCTTCACTGTAGCTGGGATAACAGAATCAGTAATAGCTCCCAGTTGTTTTCAAAACATAGAACTACAGAAGATTGTTGGTCAAATATTTCCCATCACTTTAATCTGTCCTTAGGATGACAGCACCTATTCTAGCTCCTTTTTCGTGATAAATGTGAGAGATTTTAGCATACATTAGACAAATACATTAACCAGTCACTGACACATAAGTATATGAGAAACATTGGAAATGTAAGATTTGCTCTTATAGCAAGCGATATGGCATAGTTTTAATAATAAAGAAATAATTCACCCTGATTGATTTATAATGACCAAACAGTTATAATTAGACTTTGGGGAGGTAGTATGGCAAAATAAAGTTGATAACAGTAATAATTATATGCTTATATTATAAATGCATATGAAAAATTCTAATTTCTTTCCTTATTATCTGTTTTCCATTGTGTATTGCTAACAAATGGCATTTATTAAACGAGTTACTGGTGGAAATACAAGAACCTCTGTTCATTTTCATTATGTCCAACCTAGAAAAAAATTGTGACTGGGCCTTCCCAGCAGTGGTGAGGGTACATTGTGTCTGAGATCAGATAGTCACGTGAGCAGCCTTTGTGAATCGACCTGTTCTGCTAATATTTACCAAAGACCACAAGTTCCTGTAGCTGGAAGAGTTAGGAGCTAGTCTATTGTTTGAGCAAACTGAAGCTTTCTTTGGAAAATCTTGGCAATGGGAAGTGCATTTGCGTATTTATTTATAACTGTCATGCATTTTTCTCTCTAAAGAAAAATAAGTCTTTAATTTCCTATTGAACTTGTTCAGTTGACAGAAAATTTTTCTATGCAGCAGCTTCATGTATAAAACATGAAGCAGGAACAAACTACCAGTACTATATGGAAATCTTCAGAAAGAAAGAGCTTTTTGGTTTGAGTCATTTACATTGGAAACACAAAGTTGATCGTATTGAAAGCAGTGCTGTGTGAAGCAGGTAGCTGAAATAATTTTCAAGTTTCATCTCTTTGGAGTCCAGATAATATGGTAGTAAATTGAAATAGGCACATGGTGATAATTTCAGGAATGGGTTTGCAATCCAATTATGACATTTTTCATAGTACCTCCTACTGTGATATTTTTCAAATATTGGAGAATACTAGAAAACTCATCACAGAGATATACAACCTACATTATCCAAATGACTTTTAATAGCTCACATGCAGCTACCAGTATATATAATTTCCTACACTGTGTTGGCACTTCAGCAATGCATTTAAGTACACCTCTGTTCATATGGTGATGCCAGCTGAAAAAGGAATTTAGCTTTTAGAGCACTTGGTGTAGATTCTAGAAACCCACCAGACCTTTTTTTTTTTTTTCCCCCCCCCAGACACTCCTACATTTGCCCTACTGGCTATTGTCTAGTCTGAATCCCACAATTAGTCCTTTAAAACTTTGGGACTGGCTCAAGTCAAAAAGCCCACAGTAACACCAGCAGGCACTTTTAGCCTAATATATCTTTAAAAATTGTGAATCCTGTTTACCTTCCTCATTCCCTGTCCTCATAATTTTTTTGGCCAAAAGAGAAATAGCATTTTTGACACAGCCTTAAAATACATTCCAACATGATCTGGAGACCTTCAAAAAAATTGAAGAAAAAAAAAAAAGAAAAACCCTCTTTCCTTCAAAATGGACCTAAATTTCCTGAGCAAGTCTCAGCTAGCTTATGCAGCAGTACAAAAACTCTCTGGAAACAAAACAAATGCACTCACTACTTCACCAGCTGATTAGCTTTCTAATTGGTGATAGGGGAATTTTAAGTTTCCATATATTCCTCCTGTCCAACATACTAAATTGGTCTTGTATTAGTCTGGCCACTGTATGGCAAAAGGCACATGTGTTTTATGGTCCTTGATGGAACCTTAGAGATCATCATCCATCCCTTTCAGATTAATGAAAAGCATTAAGATGTATAAGAAGTGCCATCTCAGGCCTCCCTGGTGACTCAAGGGTTTGTCTCAGCACTATCAAGCTATCTGAAGCTGCTGCAGCACAAGTTCAATCCCCGGCCAGGGAGGTGACCCACGTGGCACAGCAGACTACTCCTGTCTTTGCCCGCTGCTTCCCTCAGCAGGGTATTTCAGTAGATTCACCTGTTGTGCTCCCCACGCTGTCTCTGGTGAATCCTCTCACCCCCTGCACCTCTGGCCTACACTCCAGCTTTTGTAAGCATAAATAAATAAAATAAACCTCTAAAAAAAAATAAAAAGAAGTGCCATCCCTCCTCTGCTCTACTGTAGACTCTCACCATGCTGGACTCCTTCCTGACCCCTCTTTTCAACTGTAGACAAACTGCATTTGGTACCTACCCCTTGGTGTACTCTGAGCCCTGCCACACTGTGCAGCTCTCCTAGGACTGGGAGCTTTTCTGTGTTTACTGACACTGGGCAGAGTGGACACTACAGAGCATGCAGGTAGCAACTAGCAAGTAAGAGTTGATGGTGACAATGGTGAGGTGAGATCAGAGGAAGGCCCAGTTTTACTCTCTTTCCATATGAAATTTCATTCTTACACTAAAACAAAATTTTTTTTAAGTCTTAATGAATATAGTATATGAAGCAAGGTTGTTATTTAAAAGTTGCAAGTAACAATCTACCTTTAGAATTAGAGGTTTAGATTTTTACAGCAAACTGGGAGAAACTCTGGAATAGGCAGTTTTTATTATGTGAAAGATAAAGCGGAACTACCTTCTAGTTCTCAAGGGGAAGCTCGGCTATAGTGAAATATATTGGATTCAGATGTTTTAAACTAAGACATCAAGTTTTAGGCTAGTTCAAATTTAGTGTATATTTTAGCACTTGCTGTCCTGCAGCCAATGCCTGTTTTCTCTGTACTGAATTAAATTCTTGAAACATGTTTATTATTGGGAGGCCGTAAAGAATGATTCCCTAAAATCTATCTTACCAAGCTTTACCCCCCAAAAGTTGGAACCATTATGAAAAGGACTTGGTCTTTACCTTTCTTGGGAGGAGACAACAAATTTTGGGAGGCTGGTGATCAGCAACCTGAACTAAAAAGACTGTTATTTTGAGACTGAATAAGTCAGATTTGTAGAAATATATTAAAGTTGGCATAGCAGATGGGACTGTGATAAATGGATGTCATCTGGCTTTGGGGCTTGGTCTCTGAGCACATCCATGGGTAACTTATAATTTATTTTTTGTATAGATCATCCCTTCTATTTTCCATAAATTTTCAGTAACACCTAATTGCAAATAACCATCTGGTCTTTTCTTTACTGGGGGAAAACTCAGTGTCCTCACTCAGAGGCCACCGGGCTGGTGATGATGGTGGCCATCAGCTGTTATGGACTGAACGTTTTGCTGACATGATTAATAGAGAACAAAGAAAACTGAGGGAGCTGAAACTGAGAAAAGATGTGAGGGCACCATTACTTCCTCTCAGAAAGAGCCGTAAGACAATTTAAAGTTAACTCCTTTATGGTAAACATGTAGATTGGACTCAACCTATCATTTTGGAGCTATAAAAGGAAATACACCTTATTTTAAATTTGAAGGTAGCTGAGGTGTGATCATTTTTCTATTCATACTTGTGTATTAAGTACCAGAAACTGCTCCTTTTTTACTGGTGATCCAAGTAAAAGAAATCATGAATTCATCATGCAACCAACAGTTTTCCAGAATCTCTTGTATGGCTTCTTTTGCTTAATAAGTATAGAATGACT